GTACAAGTATAGCACTTCCTTGGCTCTAGGCGCGGTCATTACCGTAGGCGCTATGAGTAGCCCCTTCAATTCTTCAAACGCCTTGTTGCATTCTTCTGTCCATCGAAACTTGGTGGCCTTTTTCAATACCTTGAAAAAGGGGGCGCCCCGGTCCGAGGCTCGCGGAATGAACCGTCCCAACGCCGCCAGCCTTCCCGTCAACACTTGCACTTCTTTCGTCGTTCTCGGGGGCGCCAAGTTCTTGATGGCCTCCACCTGCCTGGGATTGGCCTCAATCCCCCTTTTGGTTATCATGAAACCCAAGAACTTTCCCGCCTCCGCAAAGAACACACACTTTTTGGGGTTAAGCCTCAAATTGAATCGGCGCATTGTCTCGAAAGTTTCTCGGAGGTCCAGGATATGATCTAGGCGCCTCTTGCTCTTCACTATCAAATCATCAACATATGCTTCCACGTTTCTCCCTATCTGCTCGCGGAAGACTTGGTTTACCATACGTTGGTAAGTGGCGCCTGTATTCTTTAAACCAAATGCCATGACACGATAGCAAAAGTTGCCAAAAGGCGTCATGAAGGCCGTTTTCGCCCGGTCCTCCTCTACCATAGGGATCTGATGATAGCCTGAAAACATGTCCAAGAAACTGAGCGCTTCGTGATACGCCGTCGCATCTACCAGCAAGTCGATGCGTGGCATAGGGTAAGCATCCGTCGGGCACGCCCGGTTGAGGTTAGTAAAGTCCACGCACATCCTCCAATCTCCCGACGGCTTGGGGACAAACACTACATTGGAGAGCCACGTGATGTACCTTGCCTCCTCCACAAACCCCGCTTCTCGCAACCTATCAACTTCATGCCGGAGCGCCTCTTCTTTCTCGGGGGTCAAGTTTCGTCGCTTTTGTTGCACCGGCCTCTTACCTTCTTCCACTGCCAGCCTATGTGCCGCAACTTCGGGGGACACTCCGGGCATATCCCGAGCGCTCCATGCAAACAATTCTCCGAATTCTCGCAGTAACTCAATTAAGGGCGCTCGCATAGCCTCTGGCGCCTGTGATGATATTCGTATTACCTGGTCTGGGCGCCCCTCATCCAATATAACAGCCATTTCATCATCTACTGGCTCTGCCCTGGGCGCCTCCTCCGGACGGATGTCTACGATATTCAGTCTATGCTTCCGACCTCGATTCTTTGAGTCCTCTTCTCTTGCATATCGCGGGACATTCCTTCCTCGCGAGACGCCTACGCCTTGAGGAGCGACGAACTTCAGCGTCTGATGGCACGTCGAGGCTACCCCATTGAATTGCGCCAAAAGAGGTCGGCCAAGTATCACATTGTATGGCGAGGGACAGTCAACGATGCCAAACTCCACCGCATGCGTTACGCAATGCGCTTCGTCCCCCAGAGTCACAGGGAGGCGTACGCGCCCGATGACTTGAGCAGGTGCCCCCGAGAATCCGACCAACACCGAATTTGAGGGACGCACCAACTCAGGTGCCAGCTGCATTCGTTCGAAGGTGCTCTTGAAGAGGACATCCATAGAGCTGCCTGTGTCTACCAACATTCTCTTCACTTTACATCCGGCTATCACCCCTTGTATCTCAAGAGCCTCTTCCGACGGGACTTGGCACGCCTCATCCGGTTCCTGATTAAAGTGGATGTGCACGGCTTCCCTGGCTTCAAGCGACGCAGCTCGCAGGCGCCTAGATCTCTCCAACTTCTCTCTCAAGTCAAGGGTACCCGTTATGGACTCGACTGTAAGCCTTACACGGCTAGGTTCTCCCTCTTGATCTACCTCAAACGGTGGTGGCGGAATAATAGGCGCCGGCTCAGTTTCTGGTTCTTTAGGCACTTCTCTGGCCGTGGGCGGCACCACGGTTTGGGCTCTTGGTTCTTCAGGCGCCCTCCTCTGTTCCGGCACCTGCCTCGTCACATAGGTTCGATGCGTCCTGTCTTCCATCCTTCTGACGAAGTCGTTGAGCATGCCCTTGTCAGCTAAAGTTTGTAGTTCGGACTTCAGTTGGTAACAGTCGGCCGTGTGATGCCCCTTATCGCGATGGAAGTCACAATATCTGTCAAGATTTTTTTCGTTAGGCTGGCCGCGCATGGGCCCCGGCCACCTTATATGGTAGCCCCTATCCTTCACATATTGTAGCACATTTTTGAGGGTATCATTGTACTCTGTAAAATTCGCAGCACTCCTCGTCACAGGGCGTGGCGCATCTGGTCTCCTTGGTGGGACGAAATTTCCGGGACCTGGTATGGGCGCCTGCCTTACCTCGCCTTCATCACCTCTTAGGCGCCTCTTTTCAGCCCTTCGCGCCGCCAAAGTTTCTTCCAACATAATCACCTTTTGTACTCTTCGGTCAAGGTCTTCGGTGGATACTACATCTCGCTTGGACAGGACCCGGCATAGCTCTTCACTTGAGGTGCAGGCGTCCAAGCAGACCCCTAATACTGCTGGTTGCACATCTTTGACCGCCATGGCCACCGAGATCCATCGATCATAAAACTCTCTGAGCGCCTCTCCTTCCCTCTGTTTGACTTTAAATAACGCCCCTATGGTCAATGTTCGACGCTTTCGGCTTGCAAATTTGGACAAAAACAACTCAGCAAATTCTTCGAAACATTCTATGCGCCCCTCCTCAATTTGGTGGTACCAATCCAGGACCACGCCTGCGAATGTGGATGGAAACACCTTGCACAATGTGGCGTCGGAGCTGTTATAGAGCTGCATCTTAGTAAAGTAGCTATTCAGGTGGTCTTCCGGGTCAGCCACTCCATCATAACTCGGCAACGGGGGGATCGTAGTTCCCGCCGGCTCCATTAGGATGCGCCGCGCCAGAGGCTGCCGAACACCAAACCTTCGAGCAATCCTCCTAGGCGCCCATACGTCCTCTGGGCCTGTTTGCGCGCGCTCGATATTTAGCCTCCCCTCTCGTGGGCGCCCAAACGCGTCCTGCCCCTGCTCGGTGGCATACGGCGGACCGTATTGCAGAGACTCCGAATCTTCCCCCATTCTTTCCCGCTTTCTCGCCCCTGGGCTGTACATCATCACATCTTCACTTCGTTCCCCTTCCAACTCCCTCTTGAGCGCCGCTATGGCCCGATCTTGGTCGGCTATGATTCGAAACAACTCTCTTTTCGTCAAAGACTCGCCATCATCAGCGGACAGGCGCCTAGGGCTTCCTTGTCCCTCCCCCTCCATGCTCCTCTCTTGACTCAGTTGACGCTCGCCTCCTTCGTGGTCCGAGTTCCCCGACCTGGAATTGCCTTCTCCATCGTTCCCTTCGTTCATGTTTTCCATGCGCCTACCGTTTTCGTGCGCCTTCGCCCCCTTCCTGGCGCGCCAATTGTTTGTGCCTCGATACCACCGAGCGCTTATCCTTCACCTTTACACTTTTCCGTCACCCGGGCGCCTGGAACCTGCACCCACAAGCGCCTAAGGGCCTTGGTCGACCCGTTAGCACTCCGAAGCTCAAGTCAGTGCACTTTTCTAGAGAGATAAGTGCTTGAGAGTAGTTTTTGTGAGAGAGACCAACCTGCGTAAATGCTATCGTCTGCCCCTATTTATACTCACCGAACCCGAGGTTGATCTCCGCCACGTCACCTCCCTCATTCAATGCTCTGCGCCCCCAGACAGCTAACCGCCCTGTCAGGCTCCTGACACCTGACTGGCATTCCACAGCTCTGCCAGGCTCCTGACACACGACAGGCGCCCGCAGGCCGTGGTCCATCACCCAGTTGGTCGCCACCTGGCTTTTGGTGTTCTGTGTGACAGCTAACCGCCCTGTCAGACTCCTGACACCTGACAGGCGCCCCAGGCCGTGGTCCACCAGCCGGTTGGCCGCCACCTGGCTCTTGGTATTTTACTCTTTTGGCCTTTGTCCCCTAGCTCGCTGGGTAATACCCCCAACAGATAGCATAACACACTATTTTCAAATTAATCTGTTTTTCCAAATCCATATGAGTATTGTGTTTTGGTTTTATTTATGTAAGAACTAGAGCGTATTATCGATAACAAAAGATAACATTGTTATACACATAAATAATGGAACTTGCTAATGGTTTTCACATCTTGTGCATACGCAACATACTAATATATAATTTTTGGAGTGTCACTGATCTCATGTGACAAGAGGGTGTCATGAAATTCACTTATATAGCTCGAAGCTTCGAATCTGCTTGAAGGTGAAGTAGACGTAGGAGGCCGATAAAATTAAAAAGGGATCAATCGTTTACATATTCATCGATATTAACAATGGATAAGATTTCTTTACACCTTAGTTTAGCTTAGGAATGGAACTTTTAATCTTTATAGGTGATCCAAACCAAAAAAAAAAGGGAAAATCATCGACCCTGCCTAAGTAGTGTATGACATCTACTTATGCTTTGTAGGATTCACATGAAATGATCAAGAAGCCATTGCCTTGCCCATACACATTAACAAACCTATTAAAGTCAACTACTATATTAGAATCAATATAAGAGAAATATATGAATCAATTGATGGCCCTTGGGGGAGCCCCTAATATATTTCCTTTATAGGCAAAAGGGGTGGTGGTGGAGGGCAACCTTGTATTATTAGGGTCCCCTATGGCCATGGGTATCTAAATGGTCCTATTTTGCAGGTTGGCCATTTTCAAGCATGTTCCTTTCCCCCCCAAATTTTATACATTTTGCAAACAAGATCATGCAATAAACCGAAAACACATAATGTCATAGGACATCGACAACTAGTTGTAGGGCAAAACCCACTTACCATCATCCTACAAACATCTCCTTATTCCATCATATATTGGTAATTCGTCACGGCTCTCTCGATCTCCTCCTCTAACGAATTCTCACATCTAACTTGATCAAATGAGACGACTCTCTTCAGACATAAATACTTGGAGGACTTACTACTAGTAAATAATGTTGTATAGTCGATCACGGAGCTTAGTTTTTGATAGTTCCCAACTAGTTGTCATAATTGGATAACCCATTCACTAGTGGGTTTATCTCTGGTCACTAAACATAACACAAATAGTTCATCCTACTATATGACATTGACATGAGCCCTGTTTGCTCACCACGGGGTGAATAAGTGAGCAGTACAAAATGGCTGGTGTTGTGTGTCACAGCTGGAGAAGAATAGAATGGCTGCATGCTAAACAAACGACAACTCAGCATCATTGCAACTGCCACAACTTGATTACCAAGCCAAGGGGTGCTCTCTCATTTCATTTAATTCCGTGAGGAAATTCATGTGGTTGGGGGAAAAGGGATGATGTGAAACTTTCTTTCTTTCGACCCATTTTTGGACCTCTCTGCAATCTGCCATCATAGCTTTTCGAGCTTCAGTTGAGGGAATGGGGCAGGAAAACTGCAGCAACTCATGGGGCTGGAAGTCTCTTTGTATGTTATCATCACCAGACCAGCTGCCACTGACAGCAAGTTCATTCTGAAATGGAACCCAGTTCGTTTCAAAATCCAGTTCATCATTACTACTTTCCCGTTTATTTCCACTCCTTCCCTTCATTGCTTTGACGCCCCAGCTGCTGCTCAATTATGATGTATGCAGCTTCAAACTGTTGTAACTTTTCCTTTTTTCATTCTTAGGCTGGTTGGTTTGCTAGAGCAAAGCTTAGCTTTGAACACCAACCAGACCCACTCTAACACACAGGTCTTGCTCATCTAAATTAAACAAAAGAACAACAACTTTGAAGATAACCCAAAATAGGTGTCCACTAAAAACTAGAACAGCAGAAACTTCTAAAATACTAGAGCATTCATTCTCCTAATCTGTTGCCTCCCAGTATACAATTTCTTCACTTCGCAATATGGCCAGTAGCAACGTGTCCCTTGTTCATTGACTCAGCGGCTTCCTTCTCCTCTATCATCTTGAGAAAATTCTGAACGATGATCTTGCCTTCTGAGGTTATGATGCTCTCCGGATGAAACTGCACACCCTGCAACATTCCCAACAAAAAAAGTTGGCTCGAGGTTATGGATGAGTAGAGTCAAACTAAACCGAGTTCAAGCAATCAGAAAGTAACAGAACCATGAAGAGTTCAGGATGAAGGGCATGGAATGGGTGCATAACAGTGACATTAGAGCACAGAAACCTCACCTGCAGATACTTGTACTTCTTGTGACGGGCAGCCATGATCAGCCCATCCTCAGTCCATGCAGTGATCTCCAGTTCATCTACCGGGAACGTATCCCTGTCGATAACTAGGCTGTGATATCTACCAGCTTTGAAAGGGCTGCAGAAAGTCCATATAGAGATAAAGATGTAAGGTTGGTGCATCTCTTCAACATGTAGTGGAAAGAAATATGTGCTATAATGGAAGTGTTCATATAGGTAAGAAAACACAAGCTGTGCAACAATGGACAAAAGAATTTTTGGCAGTTAAAGTTATAGGTGTTCAATTTTGATGTAGAACCTAGGTAGCGTAAGCATTTGCATAGTAAAAGGAAAGAGGTCAGAACATACAAACTTCCAACATGCCAAAATGACAGGGAGGTTAGCTTGGCAAAGCACAGGAGAGGAACCAAACAAACAAATGCATGAACGTGTTTTGTGGTAAAGATACATACTTTGGCAACCCAGTAAACAAGCCTTTGCCTTTCTCTTCATAGTACACCAGCGAACTTTTCCCGTGCACAACCCCGAACGGAGAACGCACAATGTTCCCTGCAAATATAACAAATGATCGGATTAATGAAGCATAGTATGAGAATGAAGAGGACATTGACATTCATAAACTATGCCACCAAGACATAACAGTAAAAGTAGCAGCAGGACTTCAAAATTCTTAAGAAAACTGACCGCCAAATGCTTCGCCAATGCACTGTAACCCCATACACACACCAAACAAGGGTACGATTGGTCCAAGCTCCAAAACTGTCTGCAAAGATATTCCAGAATCCTTGGGGGCTCCTATAGAGAGAATCCCAAATCAGTAAAGTGCTTAAATTTCCCTTTTCAGTTTATTGTATTTCTAACAACGTACAACACAGTTGGCACTTGCGCCTACGCAGCATACTGACCTGGTCCTGGGGATATCAGCACACCTCTAGGATTCTTCCTGTCAAAAGGCAGAAAATGTTGCAGATGTGTCGAAAAGCATATAACATACATAAGATATTTGATCATATTAGAAACATAGGAGTATACCTTTTCAACTCTTCCACAGTTAACTCATCATTCCGGTAAACCTCGAATTCGCATCCCAGCTCTCCCATATACTGCAGGACAAGACGATACATGTTTTGGATTAGCAAGAATATGATTTTGGGAAAAGGGAAGTCTCCACCAAAGCACATTATGACATTAACCAATTGTTGGTACTGGAACCAAATCAGGCCAACCCTTATGAGGGAACGAAATTTCCCTTCAATTTAACCCAAAGATGGCTAATGTACAGATCCAGTCGCCAAAACTAATGCCCTTCCTCAATCTAAATGATTTAAAAAGAGATCAATCCACACAACCCACACAGATCAGTAGCTAAAACTCAAGACAATTCAAGCAAATTCCATTATCTTGATTCAGCAATCCAGCAACAAAAAGAAGCAAACCTGGCAAAGATTATAAGTGAAACTGTCATAATTGTCAATAACAATGACAGGGTTTTTGGTCCCCTTCCTACTGGATTCCCCAGACCTTGAAGCGGCTTCAGGGACCGCCACCGAACATCTGACGGCCAACCCATTTCCCTTGGTGGCCACAAAAGCCACATCTGCAAAGCAAAAAGAGAGAAATTCCATAAACAACAAATGCCAAGAAAATTGAGTGTAGCAAAGGAAGAAACAAGAAAGCAAAGGAAGAAAAAGGACTTCACTTGCTGGCAGAGAGGGCTGAGGGAGACGATGTCCGTGCCCGGTTTTGAAGGAGAGTGAAGGTTTGGATTGAATGAAAGAAGCCCGTGAGACCATATTCGTAGCCATTGTTTGACCAATCACTCGGACAGCAAAAAGGCGCCGAAAGACAGAGCGGGATCGCAGAATCCCAAGGGATTGTTTGCGAATTGGAGCAAAGAGAGTCTATTCTGCAGAAGGGATTTCATACAACAAAACCAATGAGTGAAAAGCAATTACAATGTGGAATTGGCTAAGCTAATGTAACGCCAGCATTTGAATTTCTCCCCCATATTTGGGTCTTTCCACCCATGAACAGCAGCAAACAGATTAAACCCACACACAAAAATGCGCATCCATATCATTCCATCGGACCAATTGAAAGACCCAGAACAAGAAAAATTTATTAAAGAAAAGAAGGGAAATCTATAGGCAAGGGCGAACCTCTAAAGGGGGGAAAACAGAAGCTTCTTTCAATTAATATGCAGAACGAGTACCGGAGCCTGGCAGTCCTTTGCTATTCCCCTCTGAGATGTCTGGGTGAATAGAAGAAATTAACAGGGAAGCTGCTGCTCAAATTGAGAACCCAACGAAAGAGGCAGAGGAAAAAGAGAATCTTTGGGTATATCCTGAGAATACTCGGGCAACAGATGAGGGCGTCTCGCTCCTTCATCAACTTCAAAAATGGCGGTTAGAGGGGACAAAAAACTGCAAAGAGTAACTCGTACCGTTCAACGGCGTTTCAGGGCACTGGACTTTGAAGTTTGATCAGTATTCAGTCATGGCTGGCTGCGTTTGCTCAGCTCGGCAGAACCTTTCTTTTTCTGTTTTTAAGATTAGTTTTTCTTTATTGGCTGGCGGTAAGGGTCCAGTATCCACACTAACGGCACTCAGTTAGAGAAAGCAAGGGCCAGGCCGAACAGATTCGATTATCGGGGCGCCAGTCCGGCCCAAAATACAAAATGAAATGACCAGGCCCAAAGGGAAGCCCTAAGCCCAACAAGGGCAGCCTATTGAAAAAGGCAAAACGCGGCTTCCGTGGGGCAATTTTGGCGCCAAGTTTCACAGAGTAGATCTGAGTAAACCTGTAAATGAGCTAATCCGCTCATGAGTGACTCGGCGCTTGATTCGGGAAAACTCATTTGTAACTCAGCTCGTCTGTTAGATTATGTCTCATAATATATATAATGGTTTAAGATTTTGAGTACGTGACCAGTAATATCACGTTTATAATTTGAAAGTGTTCTCCTGCGAGAAAACTTGCGTTGAAACGAATTGAATGCACCTTGACTTCTTTGGACAACGATCACTAAGACACGGTTCACACCTCTTCAAACACAGTTCGAACGAGGGTGATCGATGTTTACACGACTCTCGAGACAGATCTACATTAAGTTACTCCTACTCCTATGGAGGTTCTGAGAGAGCTCCAGATCTACGGCTAAAATTGCAGTTGAAAGGAAAAAGGGATAAAATTTGACATTGAATTGTCTGGTGTGAATTTGGCGACCCCCTTCTCTGTCAACTCCTCCTCCTATTTATAGGTCTGAGATGATAACCGTCGTAGAAAACTGTCTTACAGTAACTTCCAAAAGGAACTGCTCCCCTTCTTTCTCGGACGTGGCTGACGTGTCATTGTACGTCGGATAATCAGCAGTTTCTCCCTTAACCGTCTATTCTTCATCCTGGAACTGTCGTCCTGTTACTTGCCTCTTCCACATGGCTTGCCTTCTTACTTCCAACTTGTTAGTTCAGATCTTGGACATAGTCTCACGACGCAGTCTAGATTTCTCGACCACGTCGGGCTCTAGATTTGACTCCAATGCGGTCTAGATCTCGCGGCCACGTCGAGCTCTAAATATGACACCAACGTGGTCTAGATCTCATGACCACGTCGGGCTCTGAATTTGACGCCCACGTCGAGCTCTAAAGTTGATGCCGATGCAGTCTAGATTTCTCGACCACGTCGGGCTCTAGATTTGACTCCAATGCGGTCTAGATCTCGCGGCCACGTCGAGCTCTAAGTTTGAAAGCCAACGTGGTCTAGATCTCATGACCACATCGAGCTCTAAGTTTGACGCCAACGTGGTCTAGATCTCATGACCGCGTAGAGCTCTAAAGTTGATGCCGACGCAGTCTAGATTTCACGACCACGTCGGGCTCTAAGTTTGAAGCCAAAGTGGTCTAGATCTCATGACCACGTAGAGCTCTAGATTTGATGCCGACATGGTCTAGATCTCACGACCACGTCGGGCTCTAGATTTGACGCCAACGTGGTCTAGATCTCACGACCACGTCGGGCTACCCAACTCGCGATGAGACTAGCTCCTTCTTGGAGACTTAGTGATTTGGGCTTAAAAACTAGTATCATGAGGCCCAGTTCAAATAACACTAATTGTTATTAATGATCTGGCCTTATAAAGGCAGTTAGTGCATTGTAAGTAATCAATGTGGTACACTAGTATTTTTTAGGTGTAAACAAATGCCCCCCAACTACTTAGTGCATAAGAATTATGGACTAAGTAGTTGAACACCACCAAGCTAGCCAAGTAACGTGTTGGCTTATCAACACACCAATTTTACTTCGCCAAAATTTTGACTTTCAATAATTAGGCCAACACGTCCAGATGGAACACTGGTCATAACTTGTCCCATGCCTTAGGCAAATTTTGGTTTTTCGCGTCAAGCCAACATGGCGAGATGGAACTTGACGTAAAAACTTGTTCCATGCCTTAGCCAAATTTTGGCTTTTCCCGTCAAGCCAACATGGCGAGATGGAAATTGACGCCCAAACTTGTTCCATGCCTTAGCCAAATTTTGGCTTTTAATGATCATGCCAACATGGCCGGATAGAACTCGACGTCAACGACTTGTCCCATGCCTTAGCCAAATTTTGGCTTTTAATGGTCAAGCCACCTAATGCATTCAACGAGACACCAACCTCACTTTATCACCTACACCCTCATTGACATTTCGTACTTTGCCACATGGTTGAGAGAATAACTTAGAATTTTTCGCAGCTAGTTTGGCATAGATTGGCTCATCTCACCTCGTCACAAGGCTAGACAGCTTCCTCGCGACAAGTCAAGTCGTCTACTTTTTTGCCTTAGACAAACTAATGTTCATTTTTATGTTGGTAGAGACATTCTGGTCACCACTCCTCTACTACCACGTTTCAAGCCATCATGCCCCCCAGACCGTGACTACTCGGGACAAGATAAGATGGCATGGCATGGCCTGATGTATGGCTCGTCATGTCAAGCCATCACAAAGACTTGGTGGCAAGATCTTCATGTTGAAGTCTAACAACTCTGACTCAAGATTTTCACTTTGATATTTTCCTTCTATCATTTCTTTTAGCCATGGTTGGCTACAATATTTTTTTTTTGTATAACTAATATATAATAAGTACATTATATAAACTTATTTATTTTATATGGCAAGAAGTGGCAAATGTCACTGCTCTCCATAGCCTTTGGCAACAATCAATGTACCAAAGGTGTATACCCATTGCCAAGTCCATGGATCAAACCAGACATGCCATCCATAGACCACATGACTCTTTTCCTCCATGGGAGATGAATCTTCATACATTAACTTTGAATTTTCTAGCTTACTAATGGGTGGTACATAGTCCACCTGTCTAGTTTTGGTGGCCTTGCATGAGGTCTCATGCTTCTTTGCTTGGGCCACCTTACTTGACATGTCAAGGCTATCATGATTATTCTTCTGCCTTGATTTTCTCCCACTTGATAAATGCTTAATCTCCTCACGATGTTGGGGACCAGGTCTAGGCTTGACAAGTTGACAACCACTCGTGTAGCTTCCTTGTCTTCGTCTTTCAATATATAAACCTTGTTGGCCCCTACACTTAGCACTCAACCACCATTGATTCTTGGTGCAACCATGTTTGGCTGGTGTGTATGGTGACTTCTTATACATGCCCCCATGTCCACTCTTTGTGGTTGGTGTCGAGTACTTACTATTCATTGACATGGACTTGCCCCCCAATCCACCCTTATCCATAATCTCACGCTTACAAAATCCGTGTGGGGGTTTGACTTCTTGTGTCTTCTTGGAGATGCTCTCTACTCCATTCTTCATGGTAGGTGAAATGCTCCCTTGTCCAGACTTAGTCAAATTAGCATGGTTATGGCAAACATGTGTGACTTGCACTTCATATGGCTTCTTGGACATGTCTTGTCCATACTTAGCCAAATTTTCAAATCTACAATAACTTTTTATGGCTTTCTCACGTCGTGACTTGTTAGATATGCTCCCATGTCTACTGCAAGTGGTTGGAGGCATGCCCCCCTTTCCAGACTTAGCCAAATTAATATGTTTAGCACAAGCATGTGTTGCTTGTGATTGATGTGACCTCTTAGACACCACATGCCCCCTAGATGGACATCTCGGCGTCAACTTGTGGGAAGTTAGACTTTCATGCCCCCCTTGCTGAGCTCTAAGTGTTTTGAGTCCATCAGAATCGCCTCCTTGCATACTCCATAGGGGTGGCATTGGGGGCTGGCAAGCAGGTGGTGGTACTTGGTCCACATTGAATGGATCTTCACCATCTCGTCCATTGACAAGTGTCTCATCTGATCTTGCCTCGAGAACAAGAGGTTGAACATCACCTTGTACATGCAAGACCCCATGATTGGTGTTCAAAGTGGAGGTGGACCTATCACCATAACTATCACATTGATGGAGTGGTTTGCTTGCCACTGGAGGTGACAAGCTCTTCTGCCATAGTTGGCCATTCTGGTCATTATCAGAAGAGTTTGTACCATCTAGTGGCAAATCTCTTGATTGAACCACTTGTTTTATCAAAAGGTTTTTCAAATCATTGAAATCGTCATTATTTTTGTTAACCAACTCTATAAGTTGACTTACACGATTATCTAGATGAGAAGTGAGAGATTCTAGGCGGAGGCTTACTTGTTGGGTACCACGATCAAGGCTGACTAGGCATCCCTCCAAGGAATGACGATGTTCCTCCATGGCTCGGACGTTCTCCGCCCTCAACATGCGGTTCTCCTCCAAGGCTTGATGGTTCTCCATCATCATCTTGTAGTTTTCCTCCAAGGCTTGACGGTTCTCCGCCATCATCTTGCGGTCTTCCTCCATTATCTTGTGAAGTAACATGATGTTGGTGGTTATATCAACACTTGGTGCCGCCGGTGACGAAGTCTCCACCATGCCATTGTTTATGGCAACATCTTTCATCTCTTGGCCAAATTCAAATTTAGCCACGTGCTTCTTCACAAGCCCAGGTGAGAGATCACCTTCTTGTTGTCTCTGTCTTGGAGCCATCAAATCAAACACAAGTGTCCCACCAGGTGTGCCAAATTTGTTCTCCTGCGAGAAAACTTGCGTTGAAACGAATTGAATGCACCTTGACTTCTTTGGACAACGATCACTAAGACACGGTTCACACCTCTTCAAACACAGTTCGAACGAGGGTGATCGATGTTTACACGACTCTCGAGACAGATCTACATTAAGTTACTCCTACTCCTATGGAGGTTCTGAGAGAGCTCCAGATCTACGGCTAAAATTGCAGTTGAAAGGAAAAAGGGATAAAATTTGACATTGAATTGTCTGGTGTGAATTTGGCGACCCCCTTCTCTGTCAACTCCTCCTCCTATTTATAGGTCTGAGATGATAACCGTCGTAGAAAACTGTCTTACAGTAACTTCCAAAAGGAACTGCTCCCCTTCTTTCTCGGACGTGGCTGACGTGTCATTGTACGTCGGATAATCAGCAGTTTCTCCCTTAACCGTCTATTCTTCATCCTGGAACTGTCGTCCTGTTACTTGCCTCTTCCACATGGCTTGCCTTCTTACTTCCAACTTGTTAGTTCAGATCTTGGACATAGTCTCACGACGCAGTCTAGATTTCTCGACCACGTCGGGCTCTAGATTTGACTCCAATGCGGTCTAGATCTCGCGGCCACGTCGAGCTCTAAATATGACACCAACGTGGTCTAGATCTCATGACCACGTCGGGCTCTGAATTTGACGCCCACGTCGAGCTCTAAAGTTGATGCCGATGCAGTCTAGATTTCTCGACCACGTCGGGCTCTAGATTTGACTCCAATGCGGTCTAGATCTCGCGGCCACGTCGAGCTCTAAGTTTGAAAGCCAACGTGGTCTAGATCTCATGACCACATCGAGCTCTAAGTTTGACGCCAACGTGGTCTAGATCTCATGACCGCGTAGAGCTCTAAAGTTGATGCCGACGCAGTCTAGATTTCACGACCACGTCGGGCTCTAAGTTTGAAGCCAAAGTGGTCTAGATCTCATGACCACGTAGAGCTCTAGATTTGATGCCGACATGGTCTAGATCTCACGACCACGTCGGGCTCTAGATTTGACGCCAACGTGGTCTAGATCTCACGACCACGTCGGGCTACCCAACTCGCGATGAGACTAGCTCCTTCTTGGAGACTTAGTGATTTGGGCTTAAAAACTAGTATCATGAGGCCCAGTTCAAATAACACTAATTGTTATTAATGATCTGGCCTTATAAAGGCAGTTAGTGCATTGTAAGTAATCAATGTGGTACACTAGTATTTTTTAGGTGTAAACAGAAAGATAAATTATGTATTATAGATTACTTGCTTACTATAAATTATTTATATAACATGATGTGAATTAGTTAAAAATTATGAACTAAACTATATTACACCAACAGATCAATTTGTGATGAAATATTGATTATTATTCTTTTTTCATTAACCACATATATATAATTTTTTACATACAAATATTATGGAATAAAATTTATAAATTATTATAGAGTTATATTTAGATTTATAAAACTCGACTCGACTTGTTTCTTAACGAGGTGAGATCCCTAGACTTGAGAGGAGTGCGAAAGTATAACAACTTAAACTTAGAAAGCATTTATGCATTAGTTTATATTAATGGTTCATCTTGAGAATTAGTGTCTGAATCCTTAGATTCTAAACAATCAAAAAAAAATATAGCTCTATGGATTGTCGAAAAAGATTTTAACATATTCATTGTTTGGTAAATGCGATTGTTAACCTTCAATGAAAATATAAATTCTAATAATATATAAATTGTCATGTTTATCCTTAACAAAAACAATCTTTGAAAATATGAATGTAAAAGTTTAAGAACTTGACTGAATTTATTTGAAATTACAGGATTTATAAGACAAAATAAAAAAATTAGAGAATTAGACAAAATAGAAAAATTAGAGGATTAAACTGGAAAAAAATTGTTAAAGTTATAAAAGCAGTGCTGGCTATCAGGATCGAACCCTAAACCTTTTAGCTACAACTACATAGCTTCTCCGCTACACTACAAATTTGGGATGTTAAGAATTTTTCACTCGAATTCTATATCCTTGTTAGATTGAGTTTATACGTAATTCTCGGAATTTCCTAGGACTTTATACGTAAGTTCAAAATTCTCGGGGGAGCCGGGGCCCCCCCGAGAGCCTACATAGCTCCGCCCCTGGGTATGGGTATGGGTAAACTCCGAGCTACTTTTGGTAGTGTAACGGATATGCATTATCCACGCCCGACCCGACCCATTGCCATCCCTACCCACTAGTTTGCTATAACCGAAAAAGAGAACAATTACTTAGCATTATAAATTCCCAAGTCTCAAATGGATGGTTCAATCCTATTGCGTAGTTTATTAATTCATGCTTGTTATGTTAGGGTGAGATCCTTAAAATGCTTTCTCTGGTAACAATCCAACCACCTGCTTTAACGAGAAGCAACTAGAAGTGGAAATTCGAAGGTTGTCTCTTTAGGCTGTAGCCATGCTCCTCTCTTTTTTTTTATTTTTTGTAGAAAGACGACGCCAAAGCACTTAATTCGTATTACTAGTTAAACGATCATAGGAAATCCCTATGTCGTGGTACAACCATGGTAAATCAGTAACTATCTAGGATCTTTCGTGATTTGGGCTACAATAATTTTTAGTTCCTCAAAGACAGAGACTTGGCCTTGGATGATTTGGTGCACGTCGTGGACTATATTCACATTTTACAACTCAAACGAAAGCGGATTTATGTGATGTTGAAGTTTGCACAGATTTGAATATCGTGTGTTTAGCAAATGAGAGTTGTCAGAATTTGATCACAAGACCTCTCAGTCACTTAATGATATCATATCGTGTTATGAATTAGTTGACCCCAATAACTTGATTTGTTGAAAGAAGTTAAATTATGCATCCTATACTACTTAGTATACTAACATGATAATCTTTGTTTAATGTATCTCTTGGTCATAGAGAAGGATTCATGCATTTTTCAAGAATCTATTTTCCATGATAGCTGTGAATTTCATGGTTTTCCTCAAAGACAGTAAGTTTTTCTTTTTACTGCCATGAATTAGTCAGTTCGTACTTCCATTTATGTATCTCGAAGTGTAAAAGGTAATTAGCATACATGGAAAATGGAGCATGAATGTCATGAAAATTAAAAGTGCTCCTAAACCATACGGTGTGATTTATTCTCTATTATGGGTTATGACATTTTCATGTCTTGGTATCAAATGTTTTTTAAATTGAATAATGTTTACTTTTATATTTATGGTTACAACTTTATTACGATTTGGAGAAAACGATCAATCACTTTCATTAAACAGACGAAACTGTACAATTACAAAAGAAAACATTGACACAACTAGAGAATCCCATTCACCAATTATCCTCTTACCCTCAACAATATATGGTATTGCATGAATTATATGACTAATTAATTATATAGGATATATATCTAATCAGATGAGCACACTTCAAGTGATTATAAATGGGATGGTTTGTGAACTAAAGGGTGTTTATTATGTTTTTGTTGTTGTTGTGGATTGATATTTGTAGATTATTTGTTATTGTTGAACTATAGTTATGTATTCAATTATCAAGCTTATAATGTGGTTTGTGAGATTTCAATTAGTGTACCACATTCTCTTTACTAAAACAAGTCGATCGACACAACATGGCGGTCAAACAAACACCAAATTGTAGGTTAGCGTCTTCTTCTCCGATCAATCTCAATATGTCATATAATACAAAGTCAACCGTCTTGTTGAGATATTGGATTTTTTGAATTTGACCGACCTATGGAAGCAAGCGATCGATCGTTATTTTCCTTCATAATGGTGGACTCCAGTTGCAACAAGGTATTTGTGCCATCTAGTCAGCCATTTTCTCTAAATCACACTAACTTGGGAATAAGTAGTCAACCCGGTTTAGCCTGTTGGCTCGATCGAGCAAGTGGGATGTGAGGGATAATGGTATGACCGCTTCAGCACGGATATATGAAAAATTTCATTACATTGTTTACAAATTATATCAAATCCCATTTAACATATGAGTAATAACATATAACATTGCACTAAAATAACATGTTGTACTTGGATCAAACATATAGTGAAAATTCACACACACTTATATAACATCAATGTTCAAATGCTCAACTTAGAATTCCAAAGCTAGGGTTAGACGTAAAGGAAAACCAAAAATAAACACATTTAACCAAAAAGAAAAACATCATACGATCTCCAACTCGATAACCTTGCAGCGTGTCCATCCGCTTTTCTCACCGAGTCGGGATAAAAAAAAATAGATTGACCCACTGGTTGAAATTCACCATATCACATATCACATATCACATATCACATATCACATATCACATATCACATATCACATATCCTGTTAGGAAGAATTTCTTAATTCATTAAAAAGGCAGGAGATATCCAATACATTTAGAATATTTCTGAAATTCTAGTTTTCAGTAAAATCTTACGGAATTTGAACAGGACATTATAGAATCCCTAACAAATCGCTATTATGGAGAAAGGGAATTCCCCCCCTTCCATTAAGATGCAAAAAGGAAAGAATATTTTTATTTGAAATCAAATCAAACCTCTAACAAACCTCCATCTTTTTACGACTCTCCTCATTTATCTTCTTTTCACCCTCTCGATATGATTCTATGAAGATCAATTATTCACTTATCTCCCCCTAATTACCATTTTCCATTTTAATATTCTTTTTTCCTCCACCAATGAACAAGCCGTAGTGGGCAAAAAAAAGAGAGGGAGATGGGTGAATATCCATCCCCCAGTTCCCGCCGTCTGCAACCCCACTTCCCTTACTTGCTTCCCTTTCCCCTCTCTCTCTGTATCAATTTTCCGCAGCACACAGAGATTTTCGTTTCCTTTTTATCTTCTTTTTTCCCCTCCCTAATATAATTCCCCTTCCACCACCATTTATGATTCACCACAATTAACAAACAAAAAGGGAAGCCCGACTCATCAATTCACATTGTTCCCCCCTTTCCGTGTGATCCTTTCACATTCCCTCAAAAAAATTTCTCTCCCCCAAATTCCGCCATTGGAACCACGAAGACCCGCGAGAGCTCCTCAGACCCACTTCGCAGCAGCAAAAAATGGTACCCGAAAACCGTCACGAATTGTGAAATTACTCCGTTCTGAAGCTCTGTTTCGATATTCTGCGAACTGGGTTGTTTTCTAACGATCGATTTTGATGATGGGTTTGTTTTGTTGTTCCCATTTTTGGATTGTGGGTAGGTAGGATGCGAGATGTACATAGAGAAAGAAGAGCGGCGGTGGGTGGAAACCCTACTCAACAGCGAGTTCTTCGGCGGCTGCGGTACTCACAGGGAGCTGCGGAAGAACGAGAGGAACGTCTTCTGTTTGGATTGCAACGCCGGGTTCTGCAGGCATTGTTTGAAATCCCATTCCTGCTTCCACCGCCATCTCCAGATTTGCAAGTACGTTTATCAGGACGTGGTTCGCCTCCTCGATATTCAGAAGCACTTCGACTGTTCTCGAATCCAGGTATGATAATAAGTTAATAACATCGGTTTTCTCCTTTACACCCTCCAACCCAATCAATCAATGGCGGATTTGTGGGTTTTTGTTTGGGTTCGTACTGTGCTGATTAGTCCCTACTCGACAGTCAAAATTGGACCCTTTTCCTTTCTTTTTCCTTTCTCCCCCCCACCACCCGGGTTGTTGATTTTTGACTTCTGGTTGGTAGGTTTGGTTGTTTGGTTGTGTGGAAAACAGTCCAATTTCTCCTTTTCCTTTCTCTTTGTCCCTTGATTTGTGGAGAAAAACAGAGTATAGTGTTGAATCTGATTTTCTTGCTAATGAACTGAAATTGGGTGTTGATGGGGCAGACTTACAAGATAAACGGGGAGAAGGCGGTGCATCTGAATCCTCGGCCGGTGCAGAAAGATGCAAAGCCATCAACCAAGGCCAAATTTGGAGCAGCTTGTGTCGTTTGTCGAAGATACCTACAGGACTTGCCCAATCGTTACTGCTCCATTGCCTGTAAGGTAAAAGACATTTTTCACTCCCTTAATCTGCTAGCTCCAATCTGTTCTTCTCTTTACATTCCTTTGGTCTAATTGGGTCTGTTTCTTGGAATGCAAGTTTAGATACTTGTAACCCAAGTACTTGGAGAATCACATCATAGATTAACGTGGGATGTATTGGGATTCCCGGTCGAATTTCGAATCTATTCAAATGCGTTGTGAGAGTGATAATGTTTAGCAAATTGTAATATGATTGCGTTTTAACACGAGTTTTACCGTTACATCATCGATGTTTTTCTATTAGTTTTTGAAATTTGTGGAGTTGATACTATTTTGTTGAATATTTATAATAATTTTTTTTAAAATCTTGATGCATGAGTTTGTTGCAAAAACGATTTAGGTGATATATGGGATTAGACCTAATTCATGGATATCCTTCTAACTTTATTATTATATGGCGTCCTTCTAAAAATTGGTTGCTGATAAGTACTTTATTAAGATTTGTGGTGTTGCAATTATAATCATGAAGGATTTCGTTCAACAGCATGATCCTATAAATTGTACTTATCATCATGATGTTTTAATTAGAAGGATAAACATGATGAGTTAGGCACAATCGAGTGGTCTGATATATCATAATTATTTCATTTTGCTTTGATGATAATTGACGCCTATGATCTATGAAAAGTGTTGAGTTTTTTTAGATCCTGTAATTTTTGTATTTATCTGAAATGTTATTCGTATTTATCTGAAATGTTATTCGTAATTATACATAGTTTTATCAATGCATGTGTTTTGCTAATTTTATATTGCATCTATTATTAAATTTTAATATTTTTTATTTTTTGAAAGAAGCAATGTAGATATCAAATTATTATAATCGAGACGAGTTTTTATGTTCAATTGAGAGTATTCGATTTATATTAATAAATTATTATTATATCATTCACCCGTTTATAGAGCTTGAAAAAATTAGGTTAATGTAAGATTATCATAGTGCAATCTGTAGGGTAAGCTCAATCAATTTCCTTCCTACTTGTGGTCTTGTTCAAATTTGCAAAAGATTAGGTTTTGGAGAATAGAATCTATCTCCCAAATTCATTAACTCCATTAAGTCTCTTTTAAGTAAGATTTACTAAAATGGAATTTCTGTAATATGCTCTATCAGTTACCTATCTAATTGTGGTCTTGCCTAACCTTTTTTGTAAGCGAATTTCTTTTTTTAGCCAAAACAAAGGAATAGTAATCACATTAATGTGGGGTTTGTTCAATTATAAACTGTACAGGTGTCAGCAGCAGGTTCATCCTGCATACTAGAAGCCAAAACGGAACCGTCGTTGCTGGAGGACGGAGTTCCCATAACGCCGTACAAGGAAACAAGCAATAACGAAAACGAGGAAGGGTCGGCATTAACGGAAACAATATGGGAGGCAGATGGTGACGAGGAAGAAACTGGAGAAGAAGAAGAAAGGGGGACGGAATGGTTGACGGTGTCACCGTGTTCGACGGCGAAAAGTTTTAGGAAACCGTCGCATCAGAGAAAAGGCATACCTCGTCGAGCTCCTTTTTTTTAATTGAGAAGAAAAAAAGTAATTCACTATTACCACATATATAGGTTTATACTTTCACATTATCTCTTTTTGCCCCACTTTTATACAAAATTTATTACTAAATAGAAAATATAGTGTTGATTTTTTTGTTGTTAATGTGGTTGTTTTTTATAGATAAATTATGTGGATGAAAATGGTCACTAAGCTCACCAAGAACAAAAATGAAATCAGTTAACCAGAAACAAAAGCAATTACAGTTTTCTAGTGAAGCAAACTCATTCTGATACAAGACGAAGCAAATTGGGTATCTCACTGTACAAAGAGATCTCACAACAATCAACTTACATCTAACCCAAACAAAATCAAGATCCCCAAGTTCATAGCTTGAGTGTTAGATCCGGCGCCAGAGATGAAGAATCCGGGACTTCCATGGCAACAAAACTACTAGTGCTATTGCTGTTTAGCCGCCTCTCAGCATACTGTAAATGACCGGACTGATTATTGTTGTTGTGATTATTAGCGGCGGGGATGCTGACTGCTCCACCGGTGGCAACAACCTGCCGGAAGCTCCCCGGCCAATACATTCCTACATCATCTTCCTCTGTCGTCGTCAACACGGGCACCCCGTAGTAGCTCTGCTCGAATCGAGCCGCCGACAGTGGTGCCTGCTGCTGCTGCTGGGGATGCGGATGTGCCTGCGGTGGCATCCTCTGGAAGGGGATCATGTTGCTGTGATGAGTAGCGGAATGAGCCTTGATGCCGAGGTTGCGAAATGCGGAGACTCCGTGTAAGGGCAGGGAGGCCAAGCTGTTGTACCTGTCGGAGAAGATCCCCATCCGCATTGCCCGCTTCGCTATGGTTCGCTCGCGCTTGTGGGCGTTCTGGTGGCCGCCCAGCGCCTGCGAGCTGTAGAACTTGCGCCTGCAGTAGTTGCAGGAGAAGACTCGTGGCTGCACGCTGGCTCCAGGTGGTGGTGTAGGAGGGGCGGCTGCATTGTTCGGGTCATGTTCTGCTATTGGTGGTTTGAGGTGTGCGGGGTCTTGGGAGTGCTGCAGTTGAAGGGAGAGGTCGAGGTCGAGGGGGAGCGAGGAGGACGAGAGGGTGGTGGTGTCCTTGGAGGGGTCCGGTGAAGGTTCGTTAGCAGATAAGTTGGATGATGCTACTTGGCTGCTGCTTTCATGATCTGACTCGTTCTCCGAGTCCAATTTGGAGTTGGGATGTTGGTGCATGACTGCGTCGAACAATGGCGTAAACGGTTCGACTTGAATGTTATCTCAACAATGGGAATTCAGGACAGCAGGGACTAGGCAACTCTCAGCTGCAATTAGATAATGAAATGTCATCAGTTATATTGTGAATGGGGAAAAACTCAGCAGATATGATTCCTATGAACATGGCCGTAGTCTAAGCACTGAGCATTCCATCATGGATAAGAAAGCAATACTGCACACCTTTAAACAAGCATTTCTACCATAAATGATGTTTGGTCAATCAGTTCTATAAAAGACGTGACAATCGAGCTTCTCCTCATCTCCTCTACTAGAGATGGTCACATTTGAGAAACATCATGCTAGTGACCCGGATGATTCGATAAAGAAAGAAACCATATAGTGTGCCCTAGCTGTAGGTTCTCCAAAGTGGAATTACATTTAACTCGCCTCTCTTAAATCTTAAATGTACTGTCTATATCTATATCAGATAACAGAAAGATCAGTCTTGGGAAGAAACCTTGAACAAGCAGTTAGCAACGAAGGCAAGATGTCAACAAGACTTAAAGAGAGCAGAGAGCTAATGGTGGCCTAGAGGTAAGAGATCACGCAATGAAATGGCCAGAGTCCTAAGATGAACTGCAACATCTGGACTTCACACATATATACAATGCTACACTGCTCACCTTTGGTTAAGATTCTTCTCTTAATAAAGCTTTCTCCATTGCTAGACATGTTGTCCAACCTTATCCATCCAACTGGTTCTGCACCAACTTACAGACAGCTTATATCAACTATGTTCGAGTATATCACTCCTATCCTCTATCTAGTGCAGCCGATCCATCGTTTACACCACCACTACCAATACCATGCTTGTTGAAGATATCTTATCAAACCAAGATATGAGAAATCTACAATACAGCCGAAACTAGAGGTAGAGAACTCAGAAGATCAAAGACACCAGACTGATGTGATTTGTGGCTGGAACTATATAGTAATTGGAGACAGCATAGAATTCACACAGCATATAATTGAATTTACTACTTAAGAATGAGAACTAGTCCAATTCTGGAGCAGTTTCATGATTACGGAACAGCAAAAAACAAACAGCATAGAGGGCCTACTCCTACCCAAATTTCTTCATGCTTCACGAGAAGCATGAAGCTGATGATTTGGAAAATGTTTCAACCCCAGATGCTAGACCATTGGTTGATCTCAGATCAGAGGTTGAGTATAGATGAGCCACTACACAAGACAGTATTCAAACAGAATCTCCAACTACAACAAGCACAAAGAACCTCAACCACATCATTCATTACTCAGCTGATAAAGGTCAAAGCTTTTGAAAGACATAACAAACTCAACCAGCTTTCTGCTGTACTACCAGTACACTGTTTCAGCAGAAAGGGTTAGTGAATCTGACCAAGTCTAAGCGAATAGAACAAAGAGGGGGTTAGCTTTTGCAGTTCAATTTCAAAGGACAAGAACAAAAGCATGCCCAAGGTGAAAAAAAAAGAGAACCCACATCAGAAAAGTGAAAACACAACATAGGGAACAGGATAAGATGTCAGAATTGAACAAATTTTGGGGACATCAACATAAATCTCATCAACCATGGACTCAGAAACACAGAGATTCATCACAAACCCAACAAAGTACAAACCAAATTACACCAAGAAAAGAGAGAGAAGGAAGAAAATACTGGGTTTTGGAAGAAAAGTAAAGTAGCTTACACGGGAGTGATAATGGAATCTGAGCCTGAAAGAGGAGAAGTTTGCTTCATGGAGGAAACCAGAAAGAAATCCACTTTTGGGGAGGGAGCAAAAGAAGGGAAGTAGCCTCAGATGATGCTGAATTTCAGTGCTGGTTGCAGCAACAAAAGGGTTGAAAAAACTTGAAAAGATGAAGAGAAACACATATCCACACCACAGAGAGAAGAGAGAGCAAGCCAGCAAGTGGGCAAGTATGGTACTCTTTACTCTCTCCTAGTTTTTACTACTAAAAGGAGCAGTAGGTGAAAGTACAATTATAAGGAGCCATAAATATGTAGAGAGAGAGAGAGATGGCAGACAATTATGGTCAAGCAAGAGCAAGAGCACCAACAGAAGCTCTAAGCTGTGAAGCAATAATTAGTGAGGATTTTGTGTTTGAATGAATGAATGGATGAATCAACATTAAAAAGGAAGTCAGAGGTTGTGGTGCTAAACAGTGTGTTTTGCCTTTTTAAGTTAAAAAAAAGGATGGAGGAAAGCGAAAATGAACACTTTGAACAGTAACATCACCTTTTTAAAAAGGATATCTTTTTTCAACTGGCTTCTCAAAACCCAGAGTGGTCACTCACTGCAAATGTTCAACAGCTACACACAGGGAAGGAGATAACAGGATAAAGAGATAGAGGGAGAAAGAGAGGAAGAAAATGACACACTCCCAAACAAACAAACAAACCAATCAGTTTAGAAAAAGAAATGGTCTTTGTTTATTTTAGCTTTTTAATTGATTAAAAATCATCGTATGCATGTTTCTGCCCTCTTCCCCCACCTTAAACAAGTGAACAGAAGAAGCAGAAGAAGAAGTATACCACAGTCCACAGCAGAGGATGGATGGGAGTGTTTTATGTTTATCAGTATCTGGCCCATATCTCTCCATTTTTATTTCCTTTTTTCTTTTCTTTTCAGGAGATAGGAAATTTACCATGGCAATAGTTACATCGAGATTTGTATACGAAGATATTGTATGTTATGTGGTCATTCGTTACGGTTCTCTTTTGGGGTGCATTATAGTGACATTTTGAGAAGTCATTCATCATTGTATTGTTTCACTAAGTATATTTAATTTTATAATTCTTACCAAATTTCATTGGTTTCGTACCAAATTGCACCATATCAGTTAACGTTGGATGTTCTTTTATGAATCATAAATTTCTCCCGTAATTTGGCGATATGAGATTTGTCTAATGGGTTTTCTTTTGCTGATTTGTCTAATGTGTTACTACAATAACTACATGTAAAAAAAACAAGTAAATAGTAGCTCCACAAGTCATTATCGTGTTATTAATTTTCTTTGCCTATCAAAACCACATGACATTATCGTATTTACGTGTTAACCATTCTTCGTGCTCCCACCGAATTCGAAACAAAATCGAACCGGGTCGGATTTCTCTCTCTCTCTCTCTCTCTCGTTATTTTCTTCCCTCTGGCATCTGAGTTATGAGTTGGACAACCCATCAACACAATTATTTAACATCTAAACTTTACACATTCCATGAAGTCCCATAACATCTATTATCCCACATGACCATTCTGAATTCTGATACAACAAACAGCAATAAACAAAGGTATCAAAGTGCAGTACCGATTTGCTTTCTTCTTCATGGTAAGTGCCCTCTGGGAGGGCAGTGGGGAGGCAGAGAAGGGGCACTGCTTCCCCTACAATTGTAAGGCATCCCCATGACCATCGAGACTTGTTCTGGTTTTGATTAGAATATATAAGAAAGAAAAGAAACAGATGTGGCTTTGCTTTTCTAGTTGGAACAAAATAAATAAACAAACAATAATAGAGTGTGGGAGGGGACAGTATATAGTACAGGACAACCGTTGTTTTTTCTTTCTTTTTTGCGGTTGGAACAGACAGCCCTTGTTAGGTTCATTTATTACATGCATTTTCTTTTCAGAATTGCTAGTTTAATAAAAAAAATTCTAAAAAATAAATAATAAAAATTAGAAAGCTTTTGATAAACAAGGGTTTGGTTCGGTGGTAATAGCTAGAACATCGATATCTCCGGTTCCAATTCTTTAAATAGTACTTATGGGTGGTTTGGATGACACATTCTGATGGGTCAATCTGTCCCAATTGACTCAAAATGAGACAATTGGACCAAATTGACTCATTTGGCACCAAAAAACAAAACGAAACATTTTGACATGGGGTAATTGTAATTGACTCGTTATGGGTCAATCTAAAATACTTGGGTGGGGGCAGATAATCTGCTTTGACGCGTTTTTTTGCCCCCTTTCCAATTGTGACCTTTGCTTTTCCCTTCCTCTCTCTTTCCCAGGACAATCTTTCCTCTCTCTCTGTTTGCTTGTAAAACAGAAAACGCCACCTGGCTTACTTTTATTTCATCAAATGGAAACTTACAATATCCTTGTTACATTTACATATATATAGATCTACTAAGTTCTATGAAAACAAACAAATAAACAAATATTACAAATCAATCCTATAACTATACATTCATTACAAATCAGTCCTCGGATTTATCTTCCTCGGACAACTCCCCCCCGCAAGCTGGCGCGTATATGTCCAAACGTCCCAGCTTGTTCTGCAAAAACTGAAACACAGCAACTGGAAGGGATTTGGTGAACATATCTGCCAATTGATTGGCTGAAGAGACATGTAGAACCTTAATAACACCATTTAGAATTTGATCTCTAATAACACGGCAATCAATTTCTATGTGCTTAGTACGTTCATGATTAATAGGATTGTCAGCCAATTTAATAGCAGACATGCAGTCACAGCAGACAGGAGTGGCAGCAGCTAAATCAACATGCAAATCATGAAGAATGTATCTCAACCATATCAATTCACAAGTTAAACTAGCCATAGACCTGTACTCGGCTTCTGCAGAAGAACGAGATACAGTCTTTTGCTTTTTCGAACGCCAACTAATAAGAGAATTACCAAGCAAAACGCAGAAACCAGTAGTTGATCTACGAGTGTCTGGGTAACCAGCCCAGTCACTGTCACAAAAGGCCTGTAAAAGCACTTTAGAATCACTAGAAAATAGTAATCCTTGACCAACAGTACCCTTTAAGTAACGGAGAATGCGTTCTGCTGCTTGCATATGCACATCAGTAGGAGAATGTGTAAACTGACTCAACTGGTGTACTGCATATGCAAGGTCTGGTCGTGTATTACACAGGTATAAAAGTCGACCAATTAATCTCTTGTAAGAGGAAGGGTCAGGAAGGAGATTACCCGATTTAGCAGACAGCTTAGGACCAGGAACAGTAGGTGAATCAGCCGGTTCTGCACTCAAAAATCCAGTGTCTGTTAAGAGATCCAAAGCAAATTTGCGTTGACACAGCATAATTCCTTTAGAAGATCTAGCAATCTCAAGACCAAGAAAGTACTTCAATTCACCTAAGTCCTTAATAGTGAAAGTCTGATTAAGTTTGAGTTTAATGTCAAAGATAGCATTCAAGTCATTTCCAGCTAAAATAATGTCATCGACATACACTAATGCAACAGTGAACGAAGAATCTACACTTCTAACAAACATAGAATAATCTGCTTTCGACTGTTTGTAACCAGCAGAAGTAAGAAATGATGTTAATTTGATATTCCATTGACGACTAGCTTGTTTTAAACCATAAAGTGATTTATTAAGACGACAAACGGGATTTTTAAAGTGAGAAGGAACAACCAAACCTGGTGGAATTTTCATGTATACTTCATCTAAATCACCATGAAGAAAAGCTGTATTAACATCTAATTGATGCAAGAACCAACCATTAATAGCGGCTAATGAAAGAACTACACGAACTGTAGTATGTTTCACAACCGGAGCAAAGGTGTCTAAGTAATCTAAACCTGGGGTTTGAGTATAACCCTTAGCCACTATGCGAGATCTAAAACGTTCGATGGCACCCGAAGCAAGAAACTTTATTTTGAACACCCACATGTTACCAATAGGAATTTTTCCAGGCGGAAGTTCAACAACAGTCCAAGTTTTGGTTCTGTCTAGGGCTGCCAATTCAGTATTACAAGCCTCAACCCAACGAGGATCTTTTATAGCTTCTTTATAAGTACGTGGTTCAACAATTTCAGATGTGGCAAGTATGTACTTTTGATATTCAGCACTTAGATTATCAAAACACATTACTTCTAAAAATTAAATAATAAAAATTAGATAGCTTTTTGATAAACAAGGGGTTTGGTCCTGTGGTAATAGCATTAGCCGTAGAACATCGATGTCTCCGGTTCCAATTCTTTAAATAGTATTTAATCACAAAAAAGTAAAAATCTATATCATTCTTGTAAACCAAAAAAGAGATTTATCATGTGAAATATATGGTGCGAGTCATTCAGCTATCTCACAATCCATCCACCAACACGCGTATAGATATGAACAGGAAGATTCCAATTAACGATCCACCAACATGAAGTCACAGATTACCCACTCACATACTCGGCCCTATTGATAATAAAAGAAAATAAAAGCTATGATGAGGAAGTAACACAGAATCTCAATAAGCAAAGAGAGTTGCAGGATCTCATCTTGATATGAAAAATTATTTTCTTGTTTTAATAATTTCTTTTTCAATATTTAATATATACACATACAGATTGAGTGTGTCCATAAGTCATTGTTTGGAGATAATAATGAAGATGGGCCTGTTGATGTCACAGTCACGATCCACTGAGACAACAAAGATAGTGGGCCATGGTGGCCCATCCTCTGCCTCCCTCTCTCTCACTTAATCACTTTTAGCGAGCCATATATTCTTCTTTCTCTCTTTCCCTTTCATAAATCTAATCTCCTTAAAATCTAATGACAACTGACACCATTAATCCAGTAAAATATAACAATATCAATCAATCATTAGACTTTTAATTGCTGTAATTATCACAACGCGAAAATCGTTTGTTGAAAATCATGGCGAAACGCCATAGAAAGGCCGGAGTTGCAGGAACCATCTTGGGTTTCGGCCCATAAAACCCCCAGGCCCGACGGCACCTATGCGGCCCAAAATGCATTGACAAAGAGGAGGGAATAAAAAGAACATAACGTCAACGGTACTTTCATCTTTCATTGCGCATATATATATATATGAATCTGTATATATTATACAAGTCGAATTCACAAGAATCAACAACCCACATTGATCTTTTAGGTGTTGGTTTTGCCTCACTAACAAGCTGCACCAATGCATGCAAAATCTTGATGCAGCCTGGATTAATATAAACAAAAAGAGATCTGGTATCTCAAATCCTACAAACTACAAAGGCAAAGGATTCACTCTGCCATGGCTGCTCCACTTGTTGCTCCTGCTGCCAGCTTCCACACAGTCACTAGACCTGTAGCATCTCCAGTGAAAACCAGCCCTCCAGGTCCTCCCTTGATGCTCCTCACCTCTCCTTTCGCATACATCCTCCCCTTCTCGGCAAAGGAAGGCAGCTCGTACAACCCAACCGAATCGTCGTTCCACGAGCACAACAGAACCGGCTTGCCATCCATGTCCTCCACCCCACACATTGATATCGCACCATGACCTTCTTCGTGTGTGTACACCGCCTCGAACCTTCCATCTTCGCCCGTGGCAGCCCACACCTTGATCTTCTGGTCCAACGAGCACGACAGCAGGAAGTCCGAGTAGCAGAGGAGGGACATCACCGCGCTGTCGTGCCCCTTCTCAATCGTCTGGATGCACTGGAGGGTTTTGATATCCCACACCTTGATGGTCCCATCCATGGAGCCAGAGAACAATTTCCCACCTCCTCCAACTTCAATTGATATCACAGCACTGGTGTGGCCATTGAGGGCTGCAGCAGGCTGAAAAGGGTTGCTGCCTTGTTGCTCACCAGTACTACTACTGCCGCCTTTCCACGCCAAAATCACACCATCTGGTGAACCACCTGCGAACAAGAATCCCATACCAACCTCCAGGGCATAAACTTGGCCAGTTGGGCCGGTGAGGCTGCAATCAACCCCGGTTTGAAGATTCCACGCCTTCACCACATTGGGCAATCCCACGAAGAGCCATTCGCCTTCTGTAATCAAACACCCAATTTTCCCACCAGCATTCAGGGTGCCCACAATCTTACCACTTGTGCAATCCCAAGCTTGCACAACTCCATCACTGCTCCCAGTAAAGAGCTTATCAGATCCAGAAGGCAGAGCGATCCCAGAAACAACAGCGGTGTTGCTGTGCCCTTCCAGCCTCGCGAGCATCGAAAACCCTTCCCCGCGTGACCAGGAGTGCAGGAATCGGCACTTGTCGTCGCCTCTGCTGCAATTCCCTGACTTCCAGTCGCGACAAACCTTCTCTTCGTGCTTCTTCGGAGCCGCGCTGCCACCAACGGGCTTAGATTGGGATTCCGAACGAGATCCGCGGAGGTAGACATGAGACGAACGGGGCGGCGGCGGCGGCGGCCTCGGCGGGAGTTCTCCGCCGTGAGCGAATTTGCAAGGGTTTCGGTTGCATATCCCCTGCTGCCAGAAACGGCAAACACTCCGGCTACTACTAGGCTTCACATGCGGAACCCTAATCTGTTCGTGAATACTCATATTCAGCGCCTGCATAGAGACCGGCCGGCGAAGAAGACGGAGGAAAATCTACTTATCGAACTGGAGCGGCGGAGAAACTAGCGCAGTGAAACCCTAGAAAACGACTGGGCGCTAAAATCGGGAATTCTCGGAGTTGACGGTGGGAGCGAACCTGAGAAATTGCGGAGGAGATGAAATTGGAGCCGCTCCAGATAATCTTAACGAATCGGATCTGAAGAGAAATAGGAAAGAAACAATGGGATGGGGATTGGGGCAACCTATTTATAAGTCGAGCCTGTGGATTTTGTTTCCGTTGGTAGCGTGGCGCGGAAGGAAGCTGACCGCGTCGTCATTTTCCCAGCTCTCCTTGTCCTAGTGTAAAACGGAATCCGGCTTTCTTTCGGGCTTTGGAAAATAAAACTCGGCCCAGGGTTCTGTCTTTTGAGCCTGGGCTAGGCCCGTAATTATTTATCTCCGTACAGTTTGTAAAGAGAGGCCCTTCACCATCTATTTATGGCCAATACTATGATGTCGCTGATAAAAGTGCGGCACCGGTGCCGCTGCTTTTTATTGGACCACGTGGCTGTCCATATGGCATTGAATATCTTTATCAAAACTAGCTCAAGTTACGCAAACCGAAATCTGGTTCAACCCTTTACAATTGACCAATTAAATATTCCTTTTTTCCTTTTCTCTTTCGTACATGTTTTTTTTTTCTGTTGCCTTCTCTGGTTTTGTTTCGTGGAGAAATCCCTGGAACTAATCCGTCTTCGTCGAACTGATCACATCCAATCCAGACGACACGAAGCCCAGCAAAGGGAAATTTTCCTCTCTCTCCGTCGATCCTCTCACTCTCGTTGATTGTAGTTTGATATTTGCTTTCTCAACAGATTCGAGTCGCCCCCTCAATTCTCGCTGATTGGAGTTGCAGATCGACTTTTGCCAATGGATTCGAAAGGTTTTCTGGTAGTGTCGCCCTCCCTCTCCGTCCATCGTTCCCCTATCTCTACCCTATAGTCCATAATTTTTCTTCGTCCAATCGCGCAAAACATGTTCTTGAGATGGATAAAAGCGGAAAGTTCATGATTTCAAAGAATTGACTGGAAGTATACTGGTTAATCTGGTAAGGCACCTCAACCATACCTTACCACGAGAGACATTAGCCTCAACTTGGTCTTTGCTACTTCCCCAGCCACAGATGACAATGCAATCGATCTTCACATCATGAAGTTGAACAAGAAAATATTTTATTTACGATTTTAAGGGATATGGCGATGAGTCGATGATGATTATGCAACAAGCTATCCGAGCTGTGTGGAGTTACTGGGAAATATATGTGTTTCTCTGCCTTTATGGTCGACAGCAAGGAGAAAGTTGGTGGTGTCTGTCTGGTTGAGATTGAGTGTGTGAAAAGTTTGAGTCATTGTGGTTGAAAAAGAAAGCCTTCCCTCTTAATTTTGTTTTTAATCATTCTTTTTGTTTACCACTAAAAAATCACTCAATACCACATTGATTATTTTCAAGGAGTGGTGGTGATTTATAAGGCCAACTTAACCATGTTAATTAAATTGGTTTAGGTTGGGCCTAAATAATGGTATTTTGGGCTTCATACCAGTTACCTCAACAAAATCACTTGACCCATTAAACACCCACCCATCACGCAAGGGAGGTCAAGTGTCAAGTGTGTTGACACCCTTCAACATCAACCACTCAAGTCGTGGGGACCCAACCACAAGGGGGTCATCGCGAGTACCCTTTCGCCGTGTGGTGGTAAAGAGAGCCAAAATTTGGCTAAGTGTTGAGATACAACCACCAAGGGGGGTCATGCATGACATCATCCCAGGGGGGTCAAGCATGATGCCATCCAAGGTGAGTCGATGTTGGCAAGTGAAGAAGGGCAACGCGAGTCTAACGAGTCCCTAGACGTGGTGGCGAAAAAAAGCCAAAATATTGGCTAAGTGTTGAGACCCACGACACCAGGGGGTCAAGCATGATACCATCCAAGGGGTCCAGCCGCCTACCAACAAGTCACTAGACCGTGATGGGAAAGAAGGCGAAAACTGGCTGAGTATTGATACCCACAGCACAAGGGGGTCAAGCATGACATCATACCAAGGGGGTCAAGCACCGGATATCAAACACTAGGATGTCAAGCATGAAGTACCCAAGCAAGAGCATGCAAGCATGATGCCACCCCAAGGGGGTTAGTGTGCATCCATCAAATCCCCAAACACCCTAGTGTCGGGCATGACGTCATGTCAAGGTGGTTAGCACGAGTGCCACCAAGCGCGAAGCCTTCACTCATCAAACAAGACACCTCTGTGGCACAAGGGGTTAGCTATCAAGTGAAGTCATCAAGTGGCAAACATGCAAGACAGTCAAGGCGTCAAGTAAGCCACATCAAGCACCAAGCAGTGGAGCAGCGGTTACCAAGAGGCGGTTGCACGACGGTTACAAGGGATGGCTATAAATAGGAGAAACGAAAATTGTAAAAGGGTTCCACAACCAATCATTTGACACACTATGTCAAAATTTATCTTTTCCCTGCAAATAAGCTTTTAGTTTTTGGAGCTCTCACTAAACCTCCATAGGAGTAGAGTAACGTAGCTTGTTCCCAAAAAACCATCAAAACATCAAACACCCTCGTTCGAACATTGTTCGGAGAGGAGTGGACCGTGTTTAGAATCGTTGTTCAAGAAGTCAAGGTGCATTCATTGTGTTCAAACACAAGTTTTTCCTCGCCGGAAAACAAATTGGCACACCTGGTGGGACCCTGTGTGTTTGATTTGATGGCTCCACGACTGAGAGAACAAGAAGGTGATCTTTCACCTGGCTTTGTAAAAGAGCTAGCGGCCAGTTATGATCTTGGTCAACTAGCAAAAAGTGACGCCGAAAACAATGGTGGGGTAAGAGGCCAACCATCACCGGCGCCATGTGTTGGGTGTAACCGCATCCACCTTGTCTCTCCACCAGTCACTGCTGGTAGAAATAAAATTAATGGAGGAGGCTGTGGTGGGATACACCAAACAAATGGTATCTCAACTTGATTTTTTCCATACTCGCATAAATCGACGTTTGGATCAACTGGATGAGATTTGCGAGATAATTAAAAATAATTTTAAGGAGTTTTGTCAACTTTCGATAAAACCAGTGTTGAGATCGAAAGTTTTGGCAAAAGATGGTGTTGATCCACCGTCAAACATTGTTACTGGGTATACGAGTAATCTAGACTCCGGTGGCCGGACTGCTCAGCCACGGTCAGAGAACTCATCGTCTCCGATGGAAATTCAACTACCTCTTCAACATGGTGGTTGTGGCGAGAATCTCGCTCCCACGTTCACCACTCATGTAAAGCAACTGCCTGTGCCGACAGTTACTCATAAAACTGTCTCAGAGGCTAGACCATGCTTGAACGTGAGAGTTGGTGGAGGGTTAATAGCTGGTGTGCTACCACAAGCTTGCCCAACCTCGATGTCATCTATGCTTGAGCGGCCTGGTGGATGCAAACCGCCAGGGGGGCATGCAGAGGGCCATGGAAGTCTACCTAACAAGGTGAAATGTCAGCCTGGGGGGCAAGTTGACGTCAAGAAAATTGAACAAATGGGTGTGTTCAACAAAATACCATATTTGTTGTCTGGAGATGGCATGGGGGCATGTCATCAACCACAAGCAGTGGGTTGACAGTTGTGCGGAACAAGCCACAACAAGCTCAAGCCACATGTGTTTCCAGCAAGCCTGATGGATACAAACCATCAAGGGGGCAGCAAGGAGGGCATGGTAGCCTACCACCTGACAAGTTGAAGGTGAAGTGTCAGGCTGGGGGACACGTTGATGTCAAGAAAATTGAACAAAAGGGTGTGTCCAACAGAATACCATGTTTATTGTATAAGGATTACATGAGGGACATGTCATCAACCACAAGCAGTGAGTTGAAAGTTGTGTCCAAGAAGCCATTACACTCCCAAGCCGCATGTGTTGCTAGTAAGAATGTTAGCGTGGCTAAGGGGGGCAAGGGGGACATGTCTCCATCTCCACGTAGTGGACAGGGGGGCATGTCATCAAACATGAAGAATAGAGTGAGTGGCAAGTCTAAGTGGGTGTTGCCTACCCACGCCACCTATGATTTTCATAACTTTGACGTGTCAAAGAGTGCACAAGAAGGCAAGGTTCCTTGTAGCATGCCACCCATGAATGGTCGACAAGGGGGCATGTCACCAACCACAAACAATAGACAGATAGACGTGCCCAAGAAACAACAACAAACTCAAGCCACACATGCTTATAGTAAGCATGATAGTGTAGCTAAGGATGACATGGAGGGCATGTCATCAATCACCACTAGTAGGTTGATAGGTGTGCCCAATAAGCCACAACATGAAGCCACACATGCTTTTAGTACTAATATGGCTAAGTTTGGAAAGGGAGGCACGTCAACAATCATGAATAATGGTATGAGGGACATGTCTCCAAACACTGGACAGGGGGGTATGTCACCGACCATGAAGAAACAAGTGGGAGAAAATTATATGAGTGTGCAGCACACCCAAGCCACTCAAAAAATTTCTAAGTATGAGAGTGTGTTAATAGATGGACAAAGAAGCAAGTTCATGCTTAACAAACCTCATGGCATGCCAAATATGAATGGCAGGGGCATGGACAAGACATCCCGACATACAAAAACCAGAAATGGTCCTACAAAGAACCAGAGGTTATGTGCTACGTGTAGAAGTCAGCAAGCCGTAAGGGTTGAACAGGATCAGGTTGGCCACCAGGGTGGTCATCGACTTGTTGAGTCCAAACACTCCTCGTCCCAACTATATGGGATGATTAAGCATGGTTGGGCGAAACCAAGGAAGTTAAAAACTCGTGGTCTCTTTCATGAGCCCAATGAGTTGAGAGTACCTAGAGTACCACCAGAAACGAGACAAACACATCAGGTTCATCATCAACAACCCAACATGTCTAGTAAGGTGGCTAAGCCAGAGGAGCAGGGGACCCCTTGCAAGCCCACCAAGGCAGGA